GCATCTTTGAGGTGGTACCCTGCTCTGCTCTTCCAGGTATTATAACCATTTGCCAGTGAGCTTATAGGATGTGCCTAAGGACAGCAAAAAGACTTGATTTAGAATTTAAAATCAACATAGCTAATTAAAAATTAACTCATACTGAAAAATAAGTTCTGAAACAATTAAAATAATTAAAATATCACTACCTTAATTGAGACCAAGCAGGTGATCTTAAAAAATAAAATTAATTAAAAAAAAAACCTTACATGAAGCCTGTAATTAACTGGCTTTTGAATTTGATGTTTTTCAGCTTGACAAATTTGTTTCAATTAATTCATTCTTTTTTTCCTTTGAAAAATTTTTTGTTAAAATTATTGAAAAAATTCACTGGACATGTATCCTATGCCAGTTGACACTTGATCGGTTTTCGTGAATGGGCAGGAAAGATGCAATTAACCTTCTGTGGGTACCTGTTGGGCTTACTCTCTTGCTTGAAATCACATGAGTCCTGCAGGTATTTGATAGAAATGGAGGGGGCAGGGCTTTGGCATCTTGTGGGGATTGCTGAGTCTTATCACCAGGCATTCGCTGGGGGAGAGAGAAACTTGGAACACAGTCTGTAGAAACCATTAGCGCCTTGACAAGGAGGCGTCTGCCCCTGGTCAGGGTTATCACTCACTCTCAGCCCCCTGTCACTGCCTTCCCCTGCATGGTTTCCCTCCACCTCATTAAAGGGCCTCTCAAATACCACTTATTATTCTGGTCTCCTATTATTTCCTCTAGAAAGTGGAGCCGCACTGCCCTGCCCAGTACAGGTGTGGGTGCCTGTCAGTCACCACAGCCTCAGGGGTGCTGGAAAGAGCATATCGGAGAGGCAGCATTTACATGGAAGTGGCACGCTCCATCACCATCTTTACCTCCTTTCAATCCCAAGTCTGCTGTTTTTCAAAAACAAGATGCGTCCTGGTGATTAAATAAACACCGACAGCTTGATTTGTTACTGTTCTGTTGTTCTGTGAAGTTCATTTACTCTAAATAATTCCCATACATGTTTGAAGTATTCACAACCTGGTAATTAATTTTTAGTGGTCTTGATTTCTATATGCAAATTATTAAGTAAGTATGCGTATAGAGTTAAATAGCTGATGATTTTTATTTATTAGTATTTCTGGTTGGAGTTTTTTTTTAATTTTCTTCTTTTTTTTTTTTTTAAAGAAATCTTAGCTTCAAGAATTGGAGGAGCAGGAATTTCCCTGATAGTCCACAGGTTAAGACTCCATGCTTCCAAAGCAGGCGGTGCAGCTTCAGTCCCTGGTCTGGGAACCAGGGACTGTGTGCACTATGCTGCACTATGTGGCCAAAAGAAATAAAGAGCTATCGTAAAAAAATTACAAAAAAGAAAACAAAATAATTAGAGTAGGGTGATCTATCAGTTCAGTTCAGTCACTCAGTCATGCCCAACTCTTCGCAACCCAATGAACCACAGCATGCCAGACCTCCCTGTCCATCACCAACTCCCGGGGTCCACGCAAACTCATGTCCATTGAGTCGGTGATGCCATCCAACCATCTCATCCTCTGTCGTCCCCCTTCTCCTCTTGCCCTCAATCTTAGTATTAGCTTAATGGTAGAGTAACAGATGGCAAGGTTGCAGAAAGAAAATTGACAGCCACTGACCACGTGACTCCTTTGAGGGGTTGCTGCCTTCAGAGGGGGTAGACAGAGGGCACAATTGCCCATGGTGGGCATCCTCCTATTCTTGGGGGGATATCGAGGCCATGTGACCCAGCCTTGACAGCACCAGTCCCCCTGGATACCCCTTGCTTTTATTCCTGAAGACTCAGCCTGCCCTGGAGGCATCTCAAGAACAGGTGCATCTGGGCTCAATAGTTGGTGTGAGATAGGGCCCCACATCAGCCTTTTTTTATCATACAGTTTTTATATTTATTATTTTATATGCTGGGGCTTCATTGCCGTGAGGGCTTTTCTCTAGTTGCGGAGAGCAGGGGCTCCTCTTCCATTGTTGTGCAGTCTTCTCACTGCGGTGGCTTCTCTTGTCGCAGAGCAGAGGCTGTAGGCGTTGCAGGCTCAGTAGTTGCGGCGCACAGGCTTATTTGCTCCCTGGGATATGGGGTCTTCCTGGATCAGGGATCGAACCTGTGTCTCCTGCATTGGCAAGCAGATTCTTTACCACTGAGCCACCAGGGAAGCCCCACATCAACGTTTTTTAGGAGACTCTGGGTGCTTTTCATGCCACTGGCGTATCGTGTTGAGAAGTTTGGGTTCTGGAGTCAGCCGACCAGGTGTTGTACACTGAACGTCCTTCTCGTCTGCTTTGTACAATGGACACAGGAGCAGCAGACACCGCCGTGGGTGTTTGTGTGAGAATTAAGTACAATAATCCAATTAGAGGGCTTAGTTCACTGCCTGCATGTCAAAAGCACTGGGTATGTGTGAGCTATCGTTCTGGTTATTATGAAGGCTTATTATTCATTCTGGGAATGAAATCCAGACACACAAAATAACAGACACCTAGGAGGCACTTAACATGTTCCCAAGTTTGTTGGCAGCAAAGATGGGCTTATTTCATCCTAATGACAACCTACAGCAATAGTAGGGACCACTGTTATCCCATTTCACAGAAGAGGAAACTGAGGTAGAGGCTAGGGAGGAGTGGAGGCAGCGTTCACTTGGATCACTGTGTCTAGAGGCTGTCCTTCCTGCTCCGCTCAGCGGACTCACTTTCCTTGAGATCTCACTATTCACTGTGGTCATCTGGACCCCAGTGTGGATGTCACATGTCTGTGAAATTGGCTGCAAAAGCTAAAAGAAGCTTAAGTTGGGCGATAAGGCTTGTCACATAGCCCTGCATATTTTGACATCCATTGCCCTTGGCCAGCCTGGAGTTCTCTATCTCTGAGATCCACGCCAGTGGCAATCCCACAGGGTCTACGATGCTTGGCACCTCTCAGGGAAATCCTTCACTTGGTTCCTGTGGCCGGGGCTGCCAGAGGCCTGGTCCCCACGTTTCTTCAGGGGTCTGATCCGCGTATTTCTTCAGGCCCCTAAGTGTCTGTCTGCATCCTGTGGTGACTGGGAGTGTGAGAAGGGCAGTAAAGGACTGGCATGGTCATTCTCAGCGGTCATCCAGATGTCATGCACTGTTAGCTCCGTGCTGGGTGTGTCTTGGAGAACGAGTCACAGCTGGCTAGACTGGAGCCCTGGGTGGGGGTTTGGAGGGCAGAGTACAAGGAGAAGGCTGCTGTCCTGAAATGCACCAGCCTCCTGGCTCCTCATGAGGACATCCCAGGAAGCCAGAGAATTCCCCCTGGAGCCAGGAGGTTCCTGCTGCAAGTTTCTGGAAGGCCCAGCCTGGGAAGGCTCCGAGGCCAGACACAGGCCCCTGCCATTCACTTCCCAGAGGGGATGCCTTTAGCTTAAGAGCTCAGAGTGAGCTCCCTGTCCCTGAAGCGTCTCTCTCTCCTGCAGTCCATTTCCTGCTGCTAAATGCCAGGCAGCTGGGCACACCCACCAGGGAGTAGGCTCCACCAGGTGACTCCCCTGGAAACAAGGCCTGAGTCTTTTTGCTCACCTGACTGGCCTGGAAATGCACCCTGGTTTCTGTTTGCAGAGCTGAAGCTGCTGCAGTGGAGGGAGCCTCCCTGAGCAATTCAAGCCCCAGGAAGAAATACCTTCAGATGTAGTGTGTTCAGGTCCCTTGTGATGTTCCCTGGGGCCTTCAGAAGAAAATGATTGAGATTCTAGGCCTGGGTGGCCTGACGGGAATCCTTACTTCCTCTAAGGGCAGAGTGTTCATGACCGCTGAGGGGCCCCAGGGTTGAGAGGGCATGGTATTAATATTTCTTAGAGTCATTTTGCTTTCCCTATTCATGATGCAGATTTGTTTAAAGGAACGTGTGTTGGGGGAGGATATGGGAGCATGACCTCACCTGGCTGTGGAGGGCAGGCATGACAGACTGACCACCTGATAGGCTTTTTGGCCCCGGAACTGGGAGATGGCACTATTGCTTTTGTTTTGCAGGGAGCTCCCTGTGGCCTCTTTGCTCTGAGGAGCATGTGCATCTCAACCTGGGGGGTGCTGCCTAGCCAGGGGCCGGCTACTCTGCCTGTTCTAGAAAGTGCTGCCGTATATGATGTGCTGGCTCTGAAGACCCTTCTCCAGTGACTCGGCTGAATCAATACCACCCTTGTTATTCCCACCCCCAAAGCCCACACTTTCTAGTCAGATGGAATATCTGAGGGTTCCCCAGACATGCCTCCCCACCCTGGAGTATGCCTGACTGCTCTGCCTAGCTTGCCTTTTCTCATTTTGCTTTTTACCATCCTGCCCATCCCTCAAGATCCAACTCACATATTAATGCTTCATTAATCCTTGCCCTAGAAATTGATCTCTCTTATTCTTTCAAGCTCTGTTATCATTTTATATGCCTGTCATGGCCCTTTTTTAATTCACCCCTGCACAATAAATATTTATGTGTCAGCTTTTTTCCCCTACCCAATTATATCACAAGTTTGTATGGCTCATAACTGTCTTGTAAATCCCAAGATTCTTCACAATAGGCTGATGGATGCTCAAAGTGCATGTTGATGGAACTGAAGCCAAAACTCTCCATCCCCTGGGACATTGTATATTATAGGAAATAAGTAAAATTGGGTGCAAAGTCATATAAAGCAGTGACAGACAAAGAACCAAAGAGTGCTATATAGCTTTTGGTCCTTGGAACACACAAGGTTCTAAAGTAATTCCTGGCCAAGATGAAGATACTGAAACTCCCAAAGCACAAAAGAATCGCTATCCTGATGTTGAAGAAAAACACGTGGCATAGACACAGAATTCCCCCTGGTTTGGGTTTTTATTCTAATTCCCTCCAGCCTAAGTAAACAGTGCAGAGTGCAAACACATAGTCTGTTTGTTTCCCACTTGTTTGTTTGAGTATAAGTATAAATTAAATTTACCTGGAGGTTCTAACTCTTCTTTTCTTGCTTTTTTTGCCTCAGCCCTGGACCCATCCAAAGATCCCTGCCTGAAGGTGAAATGCAGCCCTCACAAGGTGTGTGTGACCCAGGACTACCAGACCGCCCTGTGTGTCAGCCGCAAGCACCTGCTCCCCAGGTAAGCCAAGGGCTCCAAAGTGTTCTCCAGCCACCAGATCTGGGGTACCTGACCTCTGGCTGGGGGACAAGGGGGAGGCGGGAGACAGGTGTTTGATCTGTGTCTTATGTGGTACACAGTACATGCAGTCTTGCTGTGGTATGCATCTCAGTTCTCAAACACATTTGCAAAGAAAGTTAACCTTTTAATTTCCTTTGAATCAACTGTATCTGACTCTGAGCCCTCATCCAAGCAGATGAACAGAAAACCCCTTCCTGGTTGTTGTGGGGGGCTGTTCCTCCTCCTTGGATGACCTCAGAATCCAGGAAGTTTCTCTTTAGTCTTCTGGTTGCCATAGACATCCATCCCATGATAATCCTTGAAGATCCCTTGAAGTCAGAGTTGGGGGTTTATCTGCTTCAGTGCTCCATGGGATGTGGGAATCTTTGCCAGGCTGAGAGCCCTGGTTTGGAGTCCTGCTTCTCAAGACAGCCACACCAGTATTCCCCCTGAGAACGTATCTTCCTGTTTCCTCAGGGCGAAGCACCTGATGCCCCCTTCTCCAGCTCAGGGGGAAGTCTCCCCCTTCATCTTCAGGGGTGTTAAAGCCTCTGTCCTGTAGCCCCGCCCATTCTGAGCTTTGTGGCTGTTGTTCAATCTCCCAGTCATGTCTGACTGTCTGCGACACCATGCATTGCAGCACACTAGGCCTTGTCTCCCTTACCATCTCCCGGAGTTTACCCAAGTTCATGTTCATTGCATCGGTGATGCCGTCCAGCCATCTCATCGTCTGACACTCTCTTCTCCTTCTGTGCTCAATCTTTCCCAGCACCAGGGACTTTTCCAATGAATTGTCTGTTTGCATCAGATGACCAAAATACTGGAGCTTAGGCTTTTGCGTATGAGCCTTTGAATTCAGGCTACTTCTGCCTTCAGTCCTTCAGAAATACTTGAAGTAAGAAAACACACACACACACACACACACACACACACATGCATGCACCCAACAGGCTTTCTTCAAGAGTGGGGTTGGATGGGATGGAGGTGGGAGAAAGGTGATTTCAGTGCCATTCCTGCCGTTGTCCCTGTGCTGACTCTATAGTGGAGAGGTGCAGCAAGAGGCATTGGAGTTACATAGGCTTAGATGTTATCACTTGGATTTGGCTACTTTCTCAGCCAGTTACCTGCACTGCACCATAAACTTAGGCAAAGAAGAGTAGCCTTTCTGATAAATCTGCCTTGTTACAACTTTTGCCCTTTGGTTAGTTCCAGTGTGACCCTAGGACCATGCAGAATGAGTCCTACCCCATCTCTTTAGTTCTTGAACCTGAGCAATGCTTGCCCCTGTGGCTGCCCCTTTGGGGACATGCGTTTGAACATGTGTGGGGACCTCCCATGCTCTGGCAGGCCGTCCAGCAGTGAAGCAGCACTTGGGGGTGGCCTGATAGCACAGAGCAGAGCCCTCAACCCCTCTGACCATGCAAACCCAGCATCTGTAGCCTCGGACCTGGCCTCTGTGATCACCTCACAATAGTCAAGTTTTGTCTCCAGAAGACTGGGACTCAAGGTATTATAATATGCTTTGCTCTTCCCCTGTGTTCTTACTGGATTTAAAGCCAGATCTCACCCCTGAACCCTATCTAGCAAATGCCAGGCATTGTGCTCAGAACCTGTATCCTTGAATTCCTCCAATGATTTTGTCAAGTTGGTGCTTATTTTTGTCTTCATTCTAAAAATGAGAGAACTGAGGCAGAGAGCGGAGTTGGTCATTTGCTTGTATAGTTAGTAAGTGGCAGCTGTGTTGGGAACTTTTGAGCTCCAAAGCTTATGTTTTTCGTCAGTACGATGCATTGGCCATGTTTGATCTGTTTTGTCTATCCACTCATTCCTTGTCATTTAGCAAAAAGGTATTAGGTACCTACTATGTGCCAGGCCTGTGTTAGGCCTTGAGGCTACAGAGGTAAATAAGAGACCCTATTTCTACTCTCAAGGAAAATCTAGATCACTGCAGAGTGGGATGTGAAAAACAATTTTTTTTGCTGTTGTTCTTCAAAGGCCCTTCTAAGGCATATGTACCCTGAGAAAGCTCTCCTAGATTCTCCTGCCACACAAGACTTCTTCATTCTCTGAAGGAAAAACAATGTGGTCTCTTTTGCTGCAAATACCAACTACTGCTTGCAATAGTGCTGTGTTGTTCAACCATCTGGTTTTATGTGTGTGTGTGTGTAACATGGACAGTCCATTCCCTGTTTCCTCCTGGAATATAGCCCTGTCTGTAAGTCTAAGACAAGAGATTTTTTTGTTATAAGCTCAAATCTGCTTGAGACAGAGGCAGCAACCTCACTGGTATTCAGGCATATCTAGGTGCAAATGGTGCTTTTCTGGGCATGCCACGTTTCTGTTTGGAAACACCGCCACTTTTTTGCTTGTGTTGAAAGTGTTCTCCTCATCGCTGGCATCTCTTGGTGGCTACAGAGTTACAGTGGCTAAGATCATAGATTTGGGAATAAGACCATTCTAGGCTTCATTCCTGGGCTGGCTACTTTCTAGCTGTGTGACCTGGGCAAGTTATTTGACCTTTCTGAATCTGGGCTTTCTCCACTCTAACTTGGGTTTAAAGAAAGTATTTACCCCCTTCCTCTTTGCCGTTTGCTGGGATACATCCTTTAGTAATTCTGGCAGAGAGGGCTTATGGGTGATAAGTTTTACTAATCCTTGTATAAAACGTTTTGCGTGTATTTTTTTGTGAGAGGTCAGAAAGACAGCGGTACATAGTTTAGTGTCACATAATGACAACTAGTCTTACGGTGACTACAACAGTTGTGGTAATAGATATTACTATTGTCTGATTCATTCTGGAAGGCCAGCCAGAAAATCCCTCATTTGCATGCTCCTGAGAATAAGTAGCTCACTCCAGGCGCCCTGCCCACTGTCTTGTTCTGGCCTTTGGATTTCCTGCTCACGGAAGCCTGCTGCCCGCTTTGTGATTCACGGCAGGTGAGGAGTTGGACAAAAACTGCATTTCTGATGATAGGTATCATTCATTGACTGGAAAAACAGCCCAAAGAGGAGGCTCTGACTGAGGGGCATGCCCACGTCCTCCTCAGGATTGGGGAGATGGCTGTGTCCAGGGGGTGCTCTGTGCTGGTATTCTCTGCAATTGTGCCTGCCTCCCCTCCCTTCTGGAGGCTGAATTACTCAGCCCTTATCAGCCCAGTGCACACCTCTTCTTGGGTCTTGGCCATCTTCCTGGATGAAACATCTGTCCTTCCACATTATACTTCAGGGATCCCCTCTGACCAGGGAGGCCATGTTGACAACTCTTATTTATTCATCAATCAGGGAAGTCATCGTTCTCTCTGTGAAACATCTGTAGGCAATCCCATCAGGCAGTCTGGTCTCTGCAGCAGCTCAAGGGGTAAATCCCGCCTGCCAGACAGTGAGGACCACACACACATGGAGAGGCGGCTGGTCGGCCTGGGGCTGCTTGTGAGGCTGCGGACTTGGGTTGTCTTTGCAAGCAAGTCGAGATGGAAGGACTGTAAGTGCATCCACAAGAGAAATTCATTAGCTTTCTTTGCCCTTGGAGACTGAGTGGAGAAGCGGTTTGACACACACATTTGTGACCACCTGGTGTCAGGGTGTCTGGACAAGCAATTTCAGTGCAAACACTCCCCCAGTGAATGGTATTGGGCTTGTGGTTGGTTTCATTGAGAGACTTCAGCTAAACTCAGATTCTCTGGAAATTCTGCGTTTTATCTCTTCCTGCTGTTGAGCTGTATTGAGTAGGGTGGGGAGAGGATTAATTCTTGGTAGCATGTTCATCTTTTAGGTGCTCTAAGAGGGCCATTGATGCACTTAAGAGCAGTGTGAAGGAAACCTGGGGTCACGAAAGCTTCTCTTAGGTGACTTTTTCTTAACATTCTAATTTATTTTTGAAATTACGGTAATTAAAGCTCATTACAGAAAACACTGAAAAACATAGACAAATAAAGAGAAACAGGAAACAAGCCATGGTCATAGAATCTAAAAATATTAATTAAAATATTCCAGCACATCGCCTTCCATTCTTTCCTCTACTTTTGTCCGTTGATTTGTTTTTGTCAAAACTTGCTTATCGAGTGGTGTTTATCCTGTATATAACAATTTGCATTGGGTTCTCTTCAATTGATATTTACAGATAAGTATTTTATGATACCACAGCACTTTACAGATATAAATCTTAGTGATTATATAAAGTACAATACTAAAAATAACTTGAAATGGATCACAGACCTAAATATAAGAGTTGAGATGATAAAGCTTTTAGAAGGAAGCAAGAGTAGTAACCTTGGGATTGATAAAGATTTCTTAAACAGAGCACAAAGAAACCATGAACTTTAAATGCCAGAAAAAAAAGAGAAAATCACCAAATTGCATTTCATCAAAAGTGAAAACTTTGATCTTCAAAAGACACTGTTAGACTAATAAAAGGACAAGCCACACTGGGAGAAAATATTTGCAAAACATATGTCCAACAAAAGATTTGTTTCTAGAATATGTAATGAAAGCATATGTCCATGTAAAGGCTGACTCACAAATGTTCATAGCAGCTTTACTTGTGATAGCTAAAAGCTGGAAACAGCCCAAACATTCATCAACAGGTGAACAGATAACAAGTTGTGGTATATTCATTTCAATGGAGTAGTACTCAACAATGAAGAAAAAGAATAAGCTTTTGATACACGCTACAGCATGGATGAATCTCATAATAATTTTGCTGAGTGACAGAGGACAAAAAATATGAATTGTATGATTTTTGTTTATATGGCATTGTGGTGGATAGAGGCTAACCATTGGTGACAGCAGATCATGGTTTGTTTTGGGGAGTAGGTCATTGGGGTGCCTGAGCATTCTTTAATGTTTGATAATGCAAAATGGACCTTGGGGAAACAGTTAAGTCAAATTCTGGTCTTAGGTGCCAAAGATCCTATTGGCAAATCAGTTTAGGGAAGAAGAGTTTTTAGTACAGCTGTGTGTCA